ACACCTTCCTTCATCCCCTGGGGGTTGGGGAGGAGGGGTGGGTGCAAAGCCCCCACCCGAGCTTTCTGCCCAAGGGATCGTGGGGCTGTGGGCCGCAGTGCGCAGAGGCCTGACCTCCTTCCTGGCAGAGGCACTGGGACTCCTTACAGCCTGTGGCCTGGCCAGATTCCAGCTCGGCCCCCCTGCCTAGGGACGGATCACATAGGGGACTCCTGGAGGAGGGCCCAGCCCTGTGCAAGGTGATCGGCTGTGGGTGGCTTCTCTCCCTGCCTGTTCCACTTGTGTCTGCCCCTCTCCTTGCTTGGGCTCTTGCTCCTGCCCTCTGCTCCACTCCTCCAGCCCCCTCTGTCCACACTGAAGATCTGCACTTGGTCCTCCAGTCAGGAAGCTCTTGCCGCTATCAACGACCGCGTGCTTCAGCCGCTGTGTACAATGCTCTCCCATGACAGGTTCAAGAGGTGGCTGGGCAGCCGCCCACTGCTTCTCTGTGCTGCCCCACCCCCTCCGAGGAGCTGGCTCCCAGGGCTGGAGTAAAGTGGCTTCTGTGCCGTGGGCATCACAGCATCATCCCGGGCAGAGACCAGTGGGTCTCCAGCTTCTTCACCAGGACACTTGGCCAGGTGGAAGGGCATGACCCCCAGGCCCCATGCCTGTGGTTCTCCTTTGACACCTGGCTCTCTCCTCTGTGTGAAGACAGAGGGCTCTTTGCAAGGAGGTGGGGTCACAGCCAGCCCACCTGAGCCTCCAAGGGAGCAGCTGTTCCAGTGTCGGACACCCCCCCCACCCCCCACCCCCGCCCCCTAGTGCTGTGTGGATCTCGATTCCAAAGGAGGCTCCTCAGGGATGCAAGAAATCAGTCACGTGAGACAAGTGGGCTCCAGCAATTCTTCAGCCATTGGTGGACCGCCTGGAGTGGGCCTGGGAACTCAGCCTGACTGAGGTTGCTGGGGGCTGGTGGAACCCCCTCCCTCATTCGGAGTGGGGGGGCAGCTGGCAAGAGGGGGCCTGCTCCCCCGAGTGGGCGGCCCTCGCCTGTTGCCCCTCCTCTCCCAGCTCTGTCTGGCAGATGAGCCTGCACCTCTCACTGGCGGGTCCCATGGGAGGCATCCGGGCCAGGTCGCTCTGTGTGACTCTGCCCTGGTTCTGCAGACCCGAGGTGGGGGCAGCGTTGGGAGGGCCCTGGTGTGGACGGCCCTGGGGTCCGGCTGCAGGAAGTCCCGAGCCGGTCCAGCCGGCCCGGGGCATCTCTCCTCTGTGGAATGGCGCATCTCCATCCCTCTCCCCAGCTCCTTCCCTGGGGCGACTAGGAACCTGGTGGGGGGATGAGGAGACTGAGGCTGGGGGAGGACCGTCGGCAGAGGCCCAGGGGCACCGAG